TCAATCAATCAATATATATATATATATATATATATATGTGTGTGTGTGTGTATATACTGTATATACTTACACACACATATATGCATATTTATATATGCCCATATATACTTACACACACCGATATACATATATATATATATATATATATATATATATATATATATATATATATATATATATATATATATATATATATATATTATTTAGGCAGCAATTTTTCATTAATGTATGTTTCATTAAATAATATAGACAAGTTGTGTCTATTTATTTTAAGTAAGTTCCTTTCATATTGTCTGATAAGCTTAATAACATTATCATTGAAAGACGAAAGGAAATCACCATACATGTTTAAATCCAATCTAAGCTTTCGGCTTACATAAGCCATTATCAAAGATCACAATTACTTTTCAATATATCAACCAATACACGGACAAAAAAATAATGATAGTCTGTTTTCGTTGCATGAAAAATTTCAAAGCAACGACTAACTCGTGTATACGAGACACAGAAGCGAAATTCCCGTCGCAGCTCGTGACGTCACACATGACCACGCGAGAGTGAAAACGAGAATTAAGTATGGGAAGCCGTTGGTATAAACCAATGGCTTCAATTATCAATTATAGGCATTTATTAATATTTGTGGAGATTTTGTAGTTTATTTTGTTCAGGTTAGGTTTCAACTGTTTTACGTATATAGCTTCAAGAATTTTTAGTTTTTGTTTATTGTTTTCATGTTTAAGTATAGTTGAGACAGGGGGTGGTAGCGTGTTCAATGTTAATAAAAATGAACACGCTACCACCCCTTGTCTGAATGAATGGATTTCTCTGTATCCTTCGAAACAGTGAATTATGAATATTTCTGTGCTTTTAAAACTCAGTAAATTTAACAAATAAGTTACTCCTATATTCGCTTGAAGATGAGTAATATTTTTAATTTAATTACAAAATTGAATTAGAAGTTTTTTGCTTCCATTTTTGAAACATGGTCATTACTGTGTAGCGAAAAAGCCATATTTTAAATCAGTTAATCTATAATATATATATATATATATATATATATATATATATATGTAGAGATAGATAGATAGATAGATAGATAGAGAGAGAGAGAGAATGAGAGAGAATGAGAGATACATTAGATAGATAGATATTCGCGAGAAGACACAAGCTTACATACTTAGAAGATGCTTGAGTCTACCAACAAATGCATACATGCACACATTTTCACGGTCTGCATAATGACGATTCACTGTATAAAATCATAAACAGAGAGCCTGCACCAATAAATGATATATAAATAAAAATGTACATATCAAAATTTAAATAAATACAAAGCTTGTTTTCCTAGACTGATATCTGTTGTTTGAGTTTGACGAAGACTTCTTTAATAAACACAAACATGCCTGCTCTTTAATTTAGAAAACAAAATTAAATGAAGTGAGAAAATGGCGTATATTTTAGACTCGCATTTTGGCACGATTCCAGTATTGGTGAGTTATTTTATTTTATTTTATTTAGCCCGCTTTGCTATTCATAAAATGAATTGCCAGTCAGCATCCATTTTGGAGTTGAACTCTCCAATGAAGAAATCTGTAAAAGATAATGAACGTCTGCCATATTTTTTTCTTGTATTATTATTAGATATAAAATTTATTTCCTTTAACATTTTCTTTTTTAGGTTCATAATTTTATACTGCAAACAAGAAAACAATATAAACAACGCTGTTTATTGATCAAAACTTTTCTTCTTAACATGGAAGACCTTCACTTTCCTGAAAAAACGTATCTATCTTCTTTCTATGGCGTATCAATCTTTCTATAATTGTCCTTAAACAGAAACGTTGGGATTTTAGTACCAATATTGATCATATTGTTTTCTTTCTATCAACCTTGTTATTTACATAATTATCGATGTCACTTAACTGCTGTTTTCCGATAATTATTGCCATTCTGTGGTTGCTAGCATACATAAATATTTGATTATATATTCGTTTGCACTTTGTAAACAGAATTCTTTTTGTTATTACTATTTTATACACTGTTAAAAATGGAAGTCTGTAATGACAGATCGAATTCAGCATTTATTAAGACTTGTTTTCCACTTTTTCTCTTGCTTTCAGTAGCAATCAGTCTGGCCCGTGGAAAGTGAGACCAAAAATAGAAATAAATTCATTTAAAAACATACACACAGCAAAAAAAAAAAAAAAAAAAAAGGGAATTTAAATTTGCAGATAGTGAAATCGAGAAACGAAAAACATAATTGAGACGAACGAAGCAAAAAAAAAAAAAATAGTAGTATAAAATCCAGATTAAAGATTTGTTAAAATTACATAAGTTGGTTCACTGTGTTGTGTGAGAAGATTTTTCTCCCCAGAATCTGTCTTACATATATATAAGTCTACCATTCGCCCATGCTTAGAATAGTGCTGCCACATATCGACTGGTGTCCCTGCTATTTACCTTGAGCTCCTTGATAAAAACCGAAGAAGAATCAGCAATATTATAGATCCTGATCTGGCAGCTTAGCTCCAGTCGCTTGTCCACTGCAGTAAGGTTGCCTCTCCTTGCCTTTTCTATAAATACTTTCATGGTAATTGTTCAGATGAGCTCTTTGCTATGGCACATTGGGGATTGGTCTTTCAAATTGTTGTTATATTCCCCACACCCACAGACAAAAACTGTACATATGGGAATTAGTTAGGACTTCATAGAGACATTGTGGTATTATGGTGGATGTTGTAAGAATGGTAAGTAAGATTGCGGTGTTTTGGTGTAAGGAATATTGTAGTATGTTACGGTCAGTGATTGTGGCTAGTTAAGTTCAATGTTAAGACAATACTTTTCCGCATTCACTATTTTGGCCTTGTGCCACATTTCTGTATATAACAAAGAATAAATAATACTCTTTGCTATGGTACTTAGACTTTTTGAATTTAAGCGCAGCACCAAACTGGCGTCGAGATCTCATCAATTTACAGTTGGGTTGGCTAGATGCAGCCGTAAATTCTATGCTAACAGTTTCTTTTCTCGCACTTCTCGCTTGTGGAACTCCCTTCTTACTCCATGCTTTCCAGCCAGCTTTAATCTGCAAAATTTAAATGCAATATCAATCGCTATCTACTGTCCCCCCGATTACTCGTTTTTTTCTCTCATTATTAAGTTTTCTCTCCTAATTCTTTCACGCCCTGTAACCCCTTGTGTCTTAGGGGCTTTACCACTTTGCACGGGGGTGATACCGATTAACCCCCGACCGCCCACCAAAAAAGACGACGATTTCTTGTAAATAACATTACAATTTCCAGATTCTTTGCTACAGTTTCAAACCTAAAGAACGACTGTCCGATTTAATGAAGTTGAACTGTTACGTAATATCACTTCTGCTGTATCGCAGGGAATGCTAGACAACCAATAAACGGGTGAAGAGGAGACTTGAGGCAGCAGAGATTCGGTTCTACAGGAGGATGCTGAGGATACCATAGACCGAACATGTGAGCAGCAACGAAGTTTTAGAGAAAATGGAAACAAGAAGGAAAATTATACGTAACATCAGGAAGAGACAGTTGAAATTTCTAGGGCACATTATGAGGAAAGGGCTTGGAAAATTTGATACTCACATGACAGATTGAAGGCAAGAGGAAAAGAGGAAAACAACGCAGAACTTAGTGGGATTGAGTAAATGGATGACGGAACAAGGAATAAGAAAAAAAAGACAAAATTTATGAAGAGCTACATGGAACAGGAGATTGTGGAGAGCCATGGTTGCTTGCAAGAAGGCCGGAATACAAAATGTCCAACGGCAAAAAAACAGGCACTGTTTAAAAGAACGTGGTTCAAATGAAGTAATGATAAATCTTTACCTATTGTAGGCCACCGTGGCCGGAAAGGAAATCCGGATAGGCCTGGACCCTATCGGCACCAGTCGACAAACGGTTAACAGCGAGTTCAAAGACGGCTGAAGCAGGTTGTATTCATTTCGGACTATAACCTTTACATCTCTTCCTCATCTTGCTATGGGTTAAAATGAAGAATCACAGAACTAGTTTCAACTCGGAACTAATTTCAACTCGGAATTAATTTCAACTCGGAATTAATTTCAACTTGGAATTAATTTAAACTCGGAACTAATTTCAACTAAGAATTAATTTCAACTCGGAATTAATTTCAACTCAGAACTAATTTCAACTAGGAACTAATTTCAACTCGGAATTAATTTCAACTCGGAACTAATTTCACCTCGATTTAAAATCAAAGATATTAATTTCCGTGAATTCCTAAACAAAATGCAATGAGTCGGTGTTACTTTTTTAATTTAGCATACAAAATCCTTAGTAGAAAAGATAATTCAGAATTAATCTTCTCTGTAACTTTCATTAATTTGTTCCGAGTTGAAATTAGTTCCGAGTTGAAATTAGTTCCGAGTTGAAATTAATTCTGCACCCCAAATAGAAAGGTTGATTCGGTTCGGTAGCCTTTTTTCAAAACAGTCAAAGAAAATAACAACTCTAAATTCAAAACCATGAAGAAAAATATTGGAAAAAGCTTCAGTCATGGTAATGCGGAGTTTGCAGATATTAAAGAAAAAAGAGGCTGTGGAGCGCTATGATCAGCTGCGTTTGGATGAAACCTAGCACTTGGAGACAGAAAGAGAGAGAGAGAGAGAGAGAGAGAGAGAGAGAGAGAGAAAGAGAGAGAGAAAATTACCTACTGCGTGTTTTGAATAAATATAAAAGAAATGAAAGATGGCCACTTTCCGGCTAGACAGTAAAATCTTATAAGTTGTGTACAAAAATTTATCGATTTGTTGTAAATCAAAATTAATTAATTTAATAATAACTATTAAATTAATCCTTAAAATATTTTCTTTAATTTAGTTCTGATCTTACACCAACATTCCAAATGTTTCAGAAATTCATCTTCATAATATAACTTCGACGAAATAAAGTTGCCAATGTAATTTTAAGCATAAAGATTATCTTTAAATTATTGACATATAAAGGAAGACATGTGAATTTCTATCTATCTATCTATCTATCTATCTATCTATCTATCTATCTATCTATCTATCTATTTATTTGAGGAGGGGGCATTTTTGTGGTTGAAAACATTGAATATTTTTCCAGCGTCAGTGGGTGATATTTGCGTCTAGCCAAAGTCAGGGTTTCGAAGATTTTTTAAATGAGTCCGCTAACAAAAATAAACTTCCATCCAATCTAACACAGTAAACTATTAACCAAATTTATTTATTTTGGTTATCAATTCTCTTCTACCAACGACGGCCCCGTACCTGTTCAACAATGAATCGGTCTTGGCTGGACAGAGTTTGAGAAAAAAGTAAAGATCTTTTCACTTCTGACCATGTTCCATACCAAATCGAGGCTAAATGATTCAAGCATACTACCATCGCGTAAATGTTAGCCATTATATCACGAATTACATTAACACTTTGTAAAATTCTAAATGCTAACGTTTAATTGAAAATATTCCCATTTTCGTTGCCCTTATCATAATGTTCCGATTTATATATTGCTCGGCCTTTTACGGACGCGTCTTGCGCCGAATAAAGTTTGAATATAGCTTAGGATTGATTTCTTTTTTTATTTTACCAATTCAATCGAAACGGTTTTCAACCTACAAACTCAAGTAACGTGCTCACGAGAAGAAAATCCCAGCTGAAAGTGAGATTTTGCTAAGCGCATGCGTGCTATGGCGCATGCATTTAACAAAGGAATGGCAACTTTCTTTCTTTAACAGGCGCCTATGACAGAAAGAGAAGAAAAAGCTACCATTTGCGTGTATAATGAGTTTCTGAGATAAACCCCGTGTATGCTTGCGTTAAAACCCCGATTCAAAAGGATTGTAATCAATGAGTTTAAATAAAATGGGCTGACATGTTTCTTCTCGTCTAAGAAAATTACACAAATCTCGTTCCAATGTAAAGGTAATGAGTCTCTTTGTCCCTTCTCTTCTTAAATCGTATTTATTCAATACAAGGCAAACAAAGTCAGCTGCCATTTGCGAGTGAATAATTCGCGCCAAGACGATTTAAAGTATGGCGTTGATGTGAATGAGCAAAGTTAAGGTCATAGTATGTAAGGGGGGGTTGTTTTTTTACAACGATATTTACCATTTACAATGCCCAAGAGCCACTCGAAGTAGAGGGTTACAAAGTAATAGGCACAGATTATAGGGATATGATTCTAGACTCCAGATAAGCAACGCACTATGCTTTTTTGGCCACACGTTTTCCATTGACATGAAGCGAAGCGACTATATCGCAGCAATAGCTGCATCTATTGCAAGGAAAGTTGGATCACTGTGTCGTGTCAGGAAATTTTTCTCGTCAAAATTCATCTTGCACATTTACAAATCTACCATTCGTCCGTCCGTCCGTCCGTCCGTCCGCCAGTCCGTCCGTCCGTCCGCCAGTCCGTCCGTCCTGGGTATGACGATGAACTAAAACCGCGTCCTGTGTAAGACGATAAACTACGTCCCACAGCAAGGCCACTGATCAAGAGGTTTTGAGGAGCGGGGAACCACCTCTTAATTGCCGGTGTTCCCAGGTTCACTCTGACCCGGGGTGGTAGCACCTGTTAGGGTCCCAGCTATGAGCAAATAGTTAACCCCGAAACTGAGGCATTATGAAAGTAGGTTTTGATACCAGAAATACTTTCTAAAAAATTATTACCAGAAATAAATTTTTGAAGAAAAAAAATATTGCCAGCAATACGTTTTTGAAAAAAAATATTACCAGAAATACATTTTTGAAAGTAATATTACCAGCTATACATTTTTAAGGAAAAAAAATATTACCAGAAATAGATTTTTGACAAAAAAATATTACCAGGAAAAAAAAAAGGTTGTCGGCATTAAATGACCCATTGAGGTTGATATGCCGTAAAACAAACCAAACCAAACCAAGCCATTCGTTCGTGCATTGAACAATGTTGCCATATCTGGTCTGGTGTTCCTGTTGTACACATAGACAATTCTTGACAAAAGCCAAAGACAAACACATGGCACAGTGGATAAAGGCGTTAGTTAGATCCAGTGACGGGACCCAAAGAGTGTGAGTTCAATACCTGGTTAAGGCAGTGAAGAACTTAGAGAGGGGAATTAACAGGAGATAACTGACCAATATGAGACATGGCACGTGGAACTAGAACAGTCTACCGCAGTAAGCAAAATAAAGGGTTCAGTTCGAAATTCCAACCACCTGAAGAAGGCCGGAACGTACAATGGCCGAAACGTTATGATAAACATGGCGACAAAGATGAGAACAATAGTCCGAATAATGTAAATAGTGTGCATAATACTTCATCTCAGAAATATAGACAGATACTGAAGAAAGCCGGAGCATAAAGCGGCCGAAACGTTGTAATAAATATGGCGAAAAAGATGAGGACAATACTTCATCTCAGAAATATAGACAGATACTGAAGAAGGCCGGAGCGTACAACGGCCCAAACGTTGTAATAAATATGGCGACAAAGATGAGGAGTATAGACCGAATAATATAAATAGAGAACAAATGCAATGTTATATTTAATTTCGTTCTTATTGTTACGTTTCTGAGATCCAAATCGTTTTTTTTTTTCTATGATATTATTAAGATAAATAGAAATTCTGGTGAACGTGTTATCTCTTGAACTGGGCGATAATTAATAATTAACAAAATTGGCCGTTAATAATTACAGATGGGGACAAAAAGAAACAGAATGATTAAGAGAGAAAACGGGGGAAATAGAGAATGAAGAGGAAAATATACCAAGTGACTTGAGGGTCTATTTAAATATGCTACCCACTGATACCCCCTCCACACACCCCTGCAAGCAAAGGATAGTAATAAACATTTTATAAGTACATCACTATTACTGGGGAAATATTGACTGGTTTTTGAGATTGATTCGTAGATTCATTTGAAATTCAACACTCAGTGAAGTTCAGTAGCATTTTATCGATACACGACACACAAGTTCAGTAGCAGAGTCAGATATGGATAAACAGGCAAATATATATATATATATATATATATATATATATATATATATATATTTTTTTTAGAATTGTGTATTGAGCACTTTCTTAAAATATGTGTGTATATATATATATATATATATATATATATATATATATATATATATATATATATATATATATATATATATACACACACATATTTTAAGTATATATATATATATGCCTATATATATACACACACACATATTTTAAGAAAGTGCTCAATACACAATTCTAAAAAAATGAATGTGTAGAGCAGATAATAGTGAAAAATACTGAAAAATTAACCGTTATAGATAGATAGATAGATAAACTGAAATAAAACTATATATATATATATATATATATATATATATATATATATATATATATATATATATATATATATATATATATATATATACACAGGGATAAATTAAGAGATAGATAAATAGATAGATATGTGCATAGATAGGCTGAAATAAATCTCTCTCTCTCTATATATATATATATATATATATATATATATATATATATATATATATATATCGAGAGAGAGAAGAGAGTATAGATAGCAAATAGATAGAGTAGGAGAGATAGAAGGATAGTTCGGTAGACATGATCGATAAATGGGAACAGAGATAGATAAACATAAATAGGATATATATATATATATATATATATATATATATATATATATATAGAGAGAGAGAGAGAGAGAGACAGACAGACAGACAGACAGACAGAGAAAGAGAGAGATGGATAGATGACATAGAAGGATATATTGATAGACATGATATAACATGTGAACAGAGGTAGATAGATAGATAGATAGATAAACTAAAATAAAACTATATATATATATATATATACATAAAGAGAGGGGGTGGATAGACAGAAAGAAAGATAGAGAGAGAGAGATAAATAGATATGAGAGAAAGATCAATAAACATGATAGAAAGATTCGATAGATTGATAAATAGATAGCTGGAGAGATAGGATAGAGAGAAGCATAAACAAGATAAAAAGCCTTGAACATAGAGAGAGAGAGAGAGAGAGAGAGAGTGGGGGAGAGAGATAGAAGGTGTGAGAGATAGTGAAAGATAGGATAGACAAACAGATAGAAAGATATTTAGGAAAGAATAAAGGATAAATAAACAAACAGAATAGAAAATGTGAACATAGACTGAAATAAAACTATATATATAGAGAGAGGAGATAGATAGATAGATAGATAGATAGATAGATAGATCGATCGATCGAGACAGTAACTGATAGGATAAATAGACATGAACACGAAAAGCGGCAGTACAGAGAGACATAGGCAGAGATATATTTTTCATTAGACCCAGTCTAAAAATATTGAGATAAGAAGAGACAGACAGATAGTAATTCATTCTGTTTTGCATTTATGAACCCAATTTAATTTCTAAGTGGGATATTTTAACTGCCAATCAAACCGCAGAATATTTTTAGCATTTGTCGGTACAAATCACGTCTCTGTCACTTCAAGTCTCTACTTCATTGCTTAAGACTGAAGATCTGTACAAGCGGGCCGTATTAAAAATGTCGACACTTAAGTAATTCTGCATTGGATATATTTTCGGTATCAATAATCTAGACATTTTATCTGCACAATTAACTCCACTGATTTCTGTTAGAAAGAATAGTGTTTTTCAAATTGTTTAAATTAAAAAATGCAAAGAAATCTTGCAGAAAATATAAATCAATATATTAGCAACCTGTTCTCTCCTTACACTATTTACATTGTTCGGACTTTTGTCCTCAATTTTGTTGTCATATTCACGACGTTTCGGTCGGTGTACGCTCCGGACTTCTTCAGGTGATATACGTTGGAATTTCGAACCGAACTCTTTATTTCGTCCACCGGGACAGATTGTTCTGATTCCACGTGCCATGCCTCTTCTTGATATCTCAGTTTCAGTTAATTCCCTTTTAGTAACTGAACCCTCTATTTTTTTTGTTCACCTCTGTTGTGGCCAGGTATTGAACTCACAACTCTTTGGGTATACATTTTTATACTGTAAAACATGACCATCTGCCGACTCTTCTTTCAGATAAGCAATATGGCGATTGCTTTTCTCGGTCAATTGATGGTGTGTTAACGGCTGTTGATTAAAGAGTCTATTAAGCTTTAGATAAGAATGATGAGGCTCAGGTTGTTACATTGCACATCTCGAAGACATTCGACAGGGTTTGACATATTGGTCTTCTTCAACGTTGAAAGGTTAGCGTATTTCTGGACGAATATTTAAACTGATTCAGGTTTTCTTTTTATGGAAACTTTTGAATAGTGAGTTGATTTTTCACAGATGCTCCACTCATGGGGCCTTTTACCCATACTAAACTATGGTTAATACATAATTGAGTTTGTTTCTATCTCTCAATTCCAATCCAATCTCTGCCCTCTTTCTATGCCAAAATCTTTTCAATAGCTAATCAATTCTCTATTATCTTTTTGCCTCTATGACAGAATCTTCATCAGTTTGCCAACGATTTCTAGGCAGACATAGTCAAGTGAGCTTCATTGAAAAACTTGCTCAACTCCTTAAATTTAATTTTTAAAAATTTATTGTCTTAATATAAAAGAAAATTGTTTGAGCCTAAAGACACAGCCGATATCACAAATAGATTTTATTGGGCGTATTAAGTGTTTAACAACAATAATAATAAACAAAACTATTAAAAACAACATGGCCGTAATCGATGAATTAAACTTTTTTCTCTGATTTCGTTCACACTCAGTATGTAGATTACTTACATCAACGATATTTTTATTTCAACGCCATTGCGTTTAGCGAAAACCCAAGGAAAACGAAAAATCGATTTCAACACAAATTTTATACTAAAACTCCCTCAATTTTCAAGCAATCTAATACAAACTTCACTCAATTGTAGCCAACAATAAGTTGATTGTTTAACAGTCATTTAACTTGACAATTGAGTCCACGCATATAGGGAAACCCGCGTAAATAGCGAAAAATGGCGATTTTTACAAGTTTCTTTCTTATTTTTTGTTGATCTTTCAACCATTTTTCACCAAGCTTAACAATTACTTTATAAAAGTATCCTCTTTTACATCCCTGGTAGCACACTGACAAACTGATATTCAAAAACTCCAAAATAATTGTGGTTTGAAGTGGGTCTTCATATTGCCTGTTTTACCCCTTCATGTTCTCAGCTAACTTTGATTGAATAAATACAGACTACTTCTGTTATATCAGTAACTGCATTAATTCAAATTGTTTTTTTATGAAAGTACTTTAAAGTAATTGAAGAAGATGGACTATGTTACATCTAAACATGATGCTGTTTTTGCTCCATTCTAATTGAACGCTTTTTCTGATCGACCAACTGGGTATGGCTGCTAGTAAATAAATAATTTATGCGTAATAATTTAAAAATTAAATTAAAACAGCCGTACTTTTTGACCTAAGGCAACAGTCAAAAAGCACCTAACAACTGCCCGACATTTTTAGGGCTCTGCTGATAATCTCATCACAATTGCATCATCAAATTTTTAGGTATTTAATTCGCCATATCATTTAGATTTCAGTCTAACCTTTGCGATCAAATATGTTGCACTAGATTAGAGAGCAGAGGCCCTAGGGGATATATAATCAGAGGGCAAGATCAGCTTATCTTTCAACGGATTAATGATTTATGGATTAACGCTTAATTATTGATTTATCGCATGAACTTTTTGTTACGCTACCCACCAAATGGAATTGTTTTATTATACAGGACTTCGAATGAATAAGCTAAAATCCTGGTCCACATAGCATTTCTAGTGATCCACAGAGAATTCGCATCCATAAAAAAATTGTAGCCATTTCACAAAAATGTATCTAAATTATTCATACTTTGAAGAATTAAAAATATATATCTTAAAACTAATAAAAACTTGTAATTCCAACGGATAATTTATTGTTGAAACAGATAGATTTCGGAAAGCTTTTGCAATCCTTGATTACTCTTGAGAAATAAATGAAAAACTCACTTGTATACGTTATAAACTCAAATTAAGGGAAAAAAAACTGATGTCTAGTGTACTCAATTCGATCGAATTTTTTCCCTGTTAATTTATAACGTATACAATGTGGCTTAATCAGTGTTTCATTGATGTTTCAAGAATGATCAAGGATTGCAAATGCATTCCGAAATCTATCTGTTATATCAATAAATTATCCGTTGGAATTACAAAATTTTATTCTTTTTAATTCAACTTCACCAATGGAATCAAGTGTTTTTACAATATAATATTTTGTTTAATTACACACATGTCCATTATATTTGAAAACATTTCGAAGCTACGTAGGTATTATGCAGTGCTATATTTATTTATTTATTATTATTATTTTATATATATATATATATATATATATATATATATATATATATATATATATATATATATATATAAATGCTATATATATTATATATAATATAATTTTATTCACATAAAATTTATATTATATATAGTATTTGTTTACTAAAATGAAATTTAAATCTTAAATAGACTACTTTGTCTTTTCATTGAGTATTTTAGTGTGTAAATTAAACAGTAAAAATAGGAGTGGTCCAGTTGAATTTTTTGAAGAAAAAAATGATCCATGGACTGAAAAAGGTTGAAAAACACTGGCCTAAAATACACTGGCTGTCAAATAGTTTAACACTGAAGGACGTCAATCACAAAGATTTTGTTGGATAATTTTCCACGGCCTCTTTCTTACAAACTCGAAATTTTGGAATCGAATAATCTATGTATAATATTTACTAATTTCTGTTTTAATACTCCTGTTACTGGTACCGTGTAACCCAGTATAATGCGTTGCGTGTTACTTGGGAAAGAGGTGAGGTCTGCCACGTAAGGCCATTTTCCAAGAAATACCATGTATGACCCATGACGATACTCCGTCGATATACTAGGTGTAGATATAATTTGAATTATTAATGTTAATACAGCGCTAAGTCAAGTCTGGTAGAAATGGGGCCCTCGGAATCTGCTTACGTTAATTTTACAAGTGAGAAGGACTGGTTTACCTTGAAAATCAACATTGGAACAGATTTTAAATATTCTAGAACTCCAATTTCTCATAGCTATGGAAAAGATATCTCAACCACGCAGCAGTTCCAAGAAGTTATGTTTACTTGTAAATTTCTGTTCTACAATCCAAATTTGTTACAAGATTACCCGTAAAAATCAACTCTTAAAATAATATGAAAATCAGCTATCAAAATAACATATATATATATATATATATATATATATATATATATATATATATATATCAACTATTAAAATAATATGAAAATCAACTATTAAAACAATATGAAAATCAACTATTAAAATAATACGAAAATCACCTATGAAAATAACACATATATATCAACTACTAAAATAATATGAAAATCAATATTAAAATAATATGAAAATCAGCTATCAAAATAACATATATATCAAAAATTAACATGCTATGAAAATCAACTATTAAAATAATATGAAAACCAATATGAAAATAACACATATATATCAACTACTAAAATAATATGAAAATCAATATTAGAATAATGTGAAAATCAATATTAAAATATGTTAATTGATGAATTTAAATTACAGGACAATTATGAACGAGCGCCACTGCCTATAAAATGCTCAATATAATCCTCATCATATAATTAGATGCTTTTATTTTGCTGTTTACAGATGGGACTTTTGCCATATTGGAGTCATTTTCACATCTAATTATCTTGCATGATTACAGCATACACCGAATATAAAACTCGGCATGACATTTTGACCCATTATCTGTGTTGGAAAATGTGCCACTTTTACGGGAAAGAAACTGCAAGAAATTGTTTTGAACACCACCCAGGCCCGGTTACAGATATGGGAGCTGTAACAATTTTATGTGACTTACACACAGACGGAACAATTAAAACTAATCGCTAATAGTCGTATGGCCACAAAACAGAATGTTCTTTCTTTACATGTAATCTTTGAAGATCTTCAAAAAAATTCAAAATATCTTGAAGTGGAAAAATGTGGCACATGAGAACATCAATAATTCCAGTTGTAGTTGGAGCACTCGGATCGATTGGAAAAGGTTCTGAGAGACTTATTGAAGGGACCTCTGGTAGCCCATGTCTGAAAGAAATACAAAAGATTGTACTGACAAGTACAGCTCACTCTTTACGAAGAGGTTTAGCTATATAAAATGTGTGGGATTTTTGGTTGTTTTATTTTTATTTAAGTATATAATAGAATTCAAAGGAAATAATAATAATAATTTTTTTTTTG